CCACAGTGGGTGCCTTTTCCTTGCCAGAATACTGCCCGTGCCATGCGGTGGGGCAGTTTTTCCATCTCCAATGCATACAGTCCACTGAGCCGAGCATGCCTGGAAAGCCACGCTTCTCATTGAAGGCCAAGATCTTGCGGATATCATCCTCGTTTGGCGTGCGCAAGTACTCGTCGCCAAAAGCAGCAATAACTGCAGCGCAGAACCGTTTGAGGCATTCGAGCGCCGTCGACTTGCCCGTGCGCACATACTCGTCGGTTGCATCTGCTGGGACACTATACGCGAGTTGTCTCATCGCTGAAGTAATTTTTTGATACGACGAGAGGCCGAGTTTGTGAGCGGCGTCGCGTTTCTGGACGAAATAATCGTCCTGCTGCTTCACACCCTCCATCACGCGCAACAGCAGGTCTCGATCCATTCGATACCGGTTTCTGAACATATGCGCCGGATACACCGGATCTTCGGCAAAATAGTCTTTGAACAGACGTGCATCCATTGCGATGCGATCTCGGTGAGTCGTTTGACGGCCAGGGACAGATCCACGATGCTTCTTCTTTGTCGCATACTCCTGTTGGATCATATGGTCGATCTCTTCCATACGACGTTTGAACACAGCGATGCGACGCTGCTCTTCTTCTTCTTCGTCAACAATAAGGTTCATGAGGCGTTTTAAGTTAGGCATATTTAAATATAAGATGGGAGACAGAAAGCAGGAAACAAACAAATACGCAGGAACGCAAAAAGACAATCACACAATTTAAGTCCGCTATTGCTAGTCGGCAATAATAGCTAGTCCGCTGTAAAAATTGACTCGCCAAAAAGAATAATTGGATTAGCGAGTGGTGAAAATAGAGGAAAATTTAGCTAGTCCGCTGGACTTGCTCTAAGGTGCGAAGTAAAGACGGACATTGGTTGATAAGCAAATAAGTAAAGGCAAGGACTAGAAGTAGATAAAATATGCAACTGGAAAAAGAAGCAAGGAAATGGTATACCCCTGCTCAATGTTTGTAAAAATTTTACAGCGGTGTTTCACATTAGGTCACCGCTAATACCTTCACCCCCGCAATATTAATGCATGTTTATTCTCCTACCCCCATGATTTTCCTCATAGCACCCAAGTACCCCCGATGTTTCTCATGACACCCAAGTACCCCCAAAGTTAAAAATCTGTAAACCCTATCACCTTCACCCCATCATACACTTCCCTGTTCCCATTAATATTATTTTACTGTATTCATTGATCGTTGTAAATTATACTCCCTAGTATTAGAGGGGGAGAATGTTACCAACTAGGTAGCAGTTAGTCAAGGAACCTGGGCCCCGGCCTGGGTTGTACAAAGCTTATTAGGCCCAGCAGTATATAAAGGCTGGCTGGGCTGGGAAAATAAAAAGTAACCTCTTTTCCACTGAATCATTCACTGACCTGGATAAACGTTCCCTATAGACAAGGCCCTAGTCTATAACATTCATCACATGCAATTGCCTTTTCAATTTTATAACCAATACAGTCATGTTTAGTAAACCATTCTAATATCTGTTCTTTTGTTAAATGGAAATTTTTACAACTATATGTGAACAAGCCCTTAGTGTTTTGAAAGCAGAATTCTTTCTCACCATGTGAGGTAGCTGTACTAGAAGTATTATTATTAAACATTGCTTCAGAAAATTGAGGATTTGAGGATTTGAGGAATCTCACATATGCTCGAATTCTTCCAATGATTTTATTACGTGCTTCATCCTTAGTTTTTTTATCTACTTTAGCCCCTTTAAGGTCCTTTTCGAGTTCTGACCTCAATTGTGTAACAAGAGGTTCATAATTAATATGCTGATGATTTTCAGCAAGATGTTTTGCTCTTTCAATTTAGAGCATTAATGTTATTCCTAAAATAGGAACAAATTCAACCATAATAGCAATAAATGTGAGTAAGTTGATTTGGTCCATGTTGTATTGTTTGTGGTAGTGTTTTCAAAAATACAATAAATAAATTTCACTTTATATTTTGAGGTGTTAATTTTATATAGGAAAAAAAATTTAATTTTTATTTTTTCAAAATTTTTTAAATGTATGCATGCCAAGACATACATGCATAATTTAACTTTATGAAAATTATTTTGGTTACACCAACTTATTGTGGCTATTCATCCGTTTAGTACCAATAAACCAGAGCATAATCATTATAACATCGACTAGTTCCCTAACTGAGAAATATAGTACTGAGACCGACCCATTTTGTTTATTCCTTTCTCTTCCCCCTTTTCTACTATCCATAAAGCCACCAAAGGCTGATTACATAAAGTTTACTGAAGATCAAAACGATGAGATAGAGCAATAAGAATACAATAGAACATCTTGATTTTAAATATTTTTGATCAGATAGCTGATAAGAATATATAGATGGTCGAATCAGAAAATCGGTATATATGCTTAGTGGGAAATTGCAGGGCACCTTTTTAGACTTGCAAACTACAAAAAGCGGGGAATCTGCAATTTTTATTAGTGAGAAATGGGATTTATCCAAAGTCTGCTGCAAAAACTGAGGGCCTGCAAAAAGCGGTCGTGCAAAAAACAGGGGTTAACTATATATAAGGAGTAAAATTAAAGATTCTATAAACAATTTATAATTGTAAATTAATTATAGATACCTTTAATTTTTAAAATAAAACAATTTCTTTTATTTTTTTTAAAAAATTTCATCTTAAAATTTGTTACTAAGTAATAAACTAAATAATATACAAAGTTATAATATCTTTTCTACTATATTGCTATTGGTTTACCATCAATGGTGGATCACTCGACCTAAAAGGAATGATGGAATCAGATCTACTATATAAAGTATAGGGCTTCTTGAAGACAATGACAAGCAGTAGTATGATCATAGCAGTGAGCAATGTTACATATAAAAAGTATTTAAAAAAAATAAAATTAAGAATTAATACATATTTGTAACTTTTCTAAATCTTATTAAAGAAATAATTATATAGATAATATCAATTAAAAGTTAACTTGAAAAATTTCTTTTGAAAGTAAATTCATGATTATTTATAAAAAACAAATATATCTTATTATCTTATCTCTTTTTATATAATCTTAAAATTATATAAAGAACATTAATTGTCTAATAAATATTAATTTCAAATTGATAATGTTAATTAAGAAATTAAAACTATTATTTTTAACTTTTCTTTATTACTCAGTTGGGTAGGTTTTAAGGGTAATGTTTGGACAGTCTAAAGATAATTGAAACCATGTTTTACATTTTCTATAGCACGGAACGCACAAGTAAGGCAAACACAGATGCCATCAACAAAAAGTGTACGATCTCTGCTTTTGAACCTGTGCAAAACAGAGAAATGGGTCACTACATCGATGTAATCTATACCACAAGTGATACTGAAATTGGTTGTATAGAGATCGGTAAAGGCAGTGACCAAACAAAAGTAATGAAGGATGGTCTAGTAAAACTGCCATTAGTTATGCATGATGATTTGCTGTTGCAGCTGGCAACTACGGAAGAGGCTCTCAGAAAGACGCATGTAATCAGCTTCATTATTTTAGGTTTGTGCAATCTTCCAGTATATAAGTAGTTATGGCGTCCTACTATTAGTTGTCTAACCAATTATGAACTACTAGCTGTAATATAGATAATAAAACTGCTATGATCGGTATAACCATCAGTAGCCGAATTAATTATTGATTTACAATAAAAATAGTAAAAATTGAATTTTTTTATTTATATTGGTAGCCTCCCATGAGAAAAAAAAGAGCGATTGTTTAAAGCACATAACAACAAATAAAAATGAACACAACACAACACACTGAACAACTCGATATTGAAATTAAAAATTTAATTGATAATAAATGGACTTTTCTTGATAAATCTTAGCCTGAAATGCAACATAGATTTAATCATAGAACAGCTATTAAAGATATGAAGAATAATACAATAAATGATATAAAGGATGTATTACTTAATAGATTTGGATTTATACCTGTCTTTTATTTTCTTACTGTTTTATATGGAATTATTGAATATCCAGGGCCATACCGCGAGATTGAAAAAGGACTTGCATTATTATATCATATGGTATTAGGTGTATCAGGAAAGGATATGCATACTATTATGCCATATGCAACATTTTATGATTTATATAAGCGGTTCTGGATTACTAACTATACTGAAATGAATAAAAAGGTAAAACAAGGTCTAGATGGTATGTTCTCATCACCACATATTCGCATTCTATCAGCAATAATAAACAATCCAGATGGTTTTAAGAATGTTACACTATTTATTGATGGACATGATAGTAAAATAAAGTATTATAAACCAAATGAGTCACATTCACAATTATATTCTCATATAAATTAAAAGGGCCAGCTGTACATACACAAGTTATACAGGATATGAATGAAATAATTACACATGTTTCAGTATCTGAGAAATGTGCTATTGGAAATGATGGTACTATGTTTATTAATATGAAACTATATAAAAAAATAAGTGAGGCTGATTGTTTAGGAATGGATGGTG